CCAAACCATTCTATGATTCTATGAAATAATGTGGGGATTATGGAAGTGTTTTAAAAATAATCTTTAAAATGACCTCAGTGTGTTTCTCTCTCTTTTTTTTCCCCTTTTCTTTTGGCAGTCATAGTAACAGAAAAGACAAATATACTTTTGCGTTATTTACATCAGCAGTGGGACAAAAAGGTAGGGTTGTGTTTTCTTAATATTCACATTTTGTCTTGATTCGCTGACTCGGATTGATTGAATATTGATAATAGTGATTGTGATCAAAATATTGAGGATTAATTCAAGGGAAGTCTTTGTGAGTGCACAGAGGCTCTGTCTCTGCACAACACTTTCAAGATGACAGCGTTTTCTCCCAGTGTAAGGGACATTAAATCAGTATTTAGCCTAGAACTCAGGAGACTGCAGTTCCATCTGCTAATTACTGCAATTTTCCTTCGTGACCTTGGCAAATTGGTCTCCTCGTGCCTCAGCGTTTACTTTACAGCGGGGGTGAAGCTGTTCTTACCTCCCAGGGCTGGTAGGAGAAGAGCTTGTGTGGAATCTGAAGCATTAACAAGGGTGTGTAAGTACCTGGAGTACAAAATCTGAGCTCTCGTGTGAGGAACACACAAACTGTTCCATGTTTGAGTCAAGGGAGCTGGGATACCTGGGTTGGGAGTGCTCAGAACAAGGTGGTGAGTTAGGAGGGGAGATGTCACAGCAACAAGTGTCATCATGGCTGGAGCAGAGGTTGTGGAAAAAGGTGGAGAGAGGTAAAATTCTAAGGAACCTTGAAGCTGAAAATGAAAGTATTTGTATGTGCCAGAAGGCTTTGGGAGAGTCTGTGAAGTTCAGGGACTGACTCAGAGCAGCGGGAAAGAGAATCTTACTCATGTTTCTGCAGTATTTGAGATCTATAAATAAAAGGTGCTGAGATCAAGGGTGGTTTTAGTCCCACTCTCAAATTTGAAGAACAATCTAGAAGGAGCAGCTTTCAGCATCGGGGCAAAAATCCTCCAGTCTTTGTTCCAGTGTGGCTGTCAGGTCATCGCAGTGCTTTATTCCATCCAAAAACTTCTACAAACAAAACCTGTTCTACTGAATCTAAAGCTTTGGAGAGTTTCACTGTGGTTTTCTCTCCCGTGACAGAATGCAGCAAAGAAGAGAGATCAAGAACAAGTGGAAATAGAAGGTGAGAATTCAGCACCACCACGGAAAATCGCTCGGACAGACAGCCAGGATATGAACGAGGACACTTAAACTCCAGCCTTTCTCCTCTACTACTTTGCAGGCGCTTCCTGTTTTGTCTCAAAGTGTGTAAATTTTGCCCCCATCTCTCACCCCTCCACTATGCAGCCCAAACCACTTCTGACTTCATAGGAGCCAATGTATTTATATTTTTTTTTCCCCCCTTCTCTCCATATATTTTTTTTTTAATTTTATTTATACCATAAAACTTCTGGAGCGATGGCGGAACAGTTCAGTAAATGATGTCCTATCACCTTAATTCCTCCTTTCTAACAACAACAAATATATACACTGTCACTTTCACAGGTTTGGTTGAATCTATTCCCTCCTCAATCAGATCTATGGGAGCTTGGGTGGGAGATGTGGGTTAGCACAGAACCCTTGAGTGGTTTAAACATTCCCACTCATGTACCTGTTGATATATTACCAGTGCTCAACTCTTCTTTGGATGTGCCCAATCCAGCCATAAATCTGGGGCCTTCACTAGGTTTTTTTTTTTCCTCAAATATTCCAAAACTGGCACTGCACTTAAAAAAACAAAACAAAACAAAAAATAATCATGGGTGTCATGTAGGGTTACGTTGATTTTAGCCAATGTGTTGTCAACTTGCTAGATGAGTTGTGTTCTCTCTCCTGGGCCGCGGTCGTTGTCTCATGCCTCGGTGGTCACGGAGAATTCAAGTGCAAGGTGCGTTGCTTTTTGTTGCTCTTAAATTCTAACCGTCTTTTTGGTCTGGAATGGACTGATGTGTGCAACTTCCTCGTTGGAATAAAAGGATATTCTTATCCTCGTGCTGAGTATTTGATCAACAACCAACAGCGGATGGAATGGTGTTGGGTCAACACCCTGCAGGCAGCGCTTGGCTGGAGAAATCTGGGAGCATCTCGGCAACTCCATCTAGTTCTGTCTCAGCTGCCAGCTCTGAATAATGGTACGTTGTATTTTTTCCTATCATATCAACGTGTCTGGAATAGATTCCAGGACTTGGAGTTGATCAAAATGTGAGCTTCCACGGTCTCTGATGAAGACCAATCTCTTTTTGGACTGTGACAGTTCAGTGCCTGTTGCCTATAACCCTTCACTGACTCTTCAAAATACAAAAGAGCCAAACCAGAGACCTGTAACTCATCTTGGTGGATTCAGAAGTTCAGAGACTAAAAGGAAATGAGTGTCCCCAGCTGAAGGGGACAGGAAAGGTGTAGCTTAGTGATGATGTCTTGTCTGCTTTAACGTAAAGAAGCTGACTTCACACTGTGTTAGTTTAAATTGTTGAGTTTCTAGCTGTGGTTTTTTTTTTTAACGCGTCCACAAATCCTCGACACCAAGAAATCGTAGGAACGTTGTTTTCTAGAAAATCCCGGATGAAGCCTCGTTCTGAGCAGCTGTAGGAGCCGTGAGCTTTGAGGGGTTCTGCTGTCCCCTTCTCCACACCATCCCTGTCCAACCAGGGGATGCCACGTGTTCAGGTTTTGGGGACAAAAGGAGATCAACTGTTGCTGATGAGCACGTGTTCCAAGGCAGAACCTTAGGAAGAGCAGAGCACAGCTCACCTTGTGTTTTTAAACATACATTAGGCACCGAGTTTCTGATGCAGCGAGTGAATTGAACTAAACACCGACTAGTTTAGAACTTTGCCTTGAAAAACGTTACCTTTTTGCTATGGCATTAACCTCCAAATCACTGGAATGGCGTTGGAAATGCCAACTGTGTTGGTGAAGATAAAAATACACTTGGGTTTCCGTGTGGTTTTATTTTTTTGGGGTGATTGCAAGAGGATTCCTCCCACAGTTCCACTGTCCAAAAAGTGCTTTTTTTTTGTTGTTGTGGAAAGTGCAGGATATCAACTGAAGATGCCTCACAGGGATTCTCTGAACCTGAAGAATCCTTGAAAGAGTTGTGAGATACCCAAAGAGGACACGGACGTGCAGCTGGTGGTAAAGTGTGACCAATTAAGTGTGTTTAGCTGAGCTGGAAGAGCTGGAACCTCGCAGTAATGTTTGTACAGTGCTTTAAAAAGTTGTAAAATGCTGTATGATTCTTGAAGGAGATGACAAGGTCTGAGCTTTGCTGACTTCTCTGCTAGCCAGAGCCATGTGCTATTAAAGGAGAGTTGGCAGTTCCTGTTGTAAACCCCCCGTCTCTGTCTTTAAAAAAAAATAATGATCTTGTTATGGGAGCCTTTGAAAAATGTTGGATATTTTTAGGAGGTGAAAGAAAGTTGCCTTTTTACAGTAGTGCTGAAGTGATGGAGGAACGAGTTTTCAAAGGGACGTGACTTTGTCAAACTGGTTGGGGTTTTGGGGGGTTTTTTTTTTTCAAATTGGTGGCTGTGTACGAGCTGTATGGATTTCTGATATCTGCAGTGAGTCTTTCTCCACCCCACCCCGCCTGAAGCGAGAGCTCC